GCTCGAGCCCGTTCTCAACGTCGGTGTTACTCTCAAAAAAGAAAGATGGTACCTGGCAGTTTTGCACTGACTGTTGTGCCCTGAATGCCGCAACCATCAAGGACCGTTTCCCAATTCCAAGCGTCGATGACATTCTTAACGAGCTAGATCGCGCTATTTCTCCAAACTTGATCTTAGGGCCGGGTACCATCAAATCCGCCTAAACAAGGCCGACGTCCTGAAGACGGCCTTTCGCATGCACCAGGGTCATTATGAGTACTTGGTAATGCCCTTTGGGCTGTGCAACGCTCCGTCCATCTTCAGTTCACCATGAAATCAATCTTCAAGAAGCACTTTCGCAGGTTCGTGTTGGTGTTTTTCGACGATATCTTGATCTACTCGAAAACATGGTCGGAGCACCTCGAGCACCTACGCACGGTACTAGATTTCCTAGACCCAGAACTCGTTCTACATCAAGCCATCAAAGTGTTCTTTTGGGCAGGAGATGGTGGAATATCTCTGCCACTTTATCTCGCACGAAGGCGTGAAGGTCGACCAGAGAAAAGTCTAGGCTATGGTCGGTTGGCCTAAACTGACGAGCTTAACGCAACTACGCAGATTCCTGAGCTTAACCGGGTACTACAGGAAATTTGTGAAAGACTACGGAACCATTGCTAAGCCACTCACGGAGATGACGAAGAAGGGCAAGTTCAAATGGACTGAAGCGAGCGAGGTCGCATTCGAGAAATTAAAGCAAGCCATGACGACCATGCCCGTACTCGCGATGCCCAAGTTCGAGCTCATGTTCGAGGTGTACACTGATGCGAGCAACGTGGGAATCGGGGCCATATTAGTATAAGAGGGACGACCCCTAGCCTTTCTCAGCAAAGCTCTCAGCTCGACTCGATTAGGGTTGTCCGTGTACGTGAAAGAGATGCTCGCAGTCGTAGAAGCCGTGCGATGCTGGAGGCCTTACCTCTTGGACCGTCGCTTTCAGATCGTGCCTGACCAGCAACCGCTCAAGCACTTGCTCGAGCAAAGGATCGTGACTTCTGAGCAGCAAAAATTTGTCTCGAAACTCATGGGCTTCGACTTCGAGATCGTGTATCGACCGAGCCGACAAAATGTCGTGGCCGACGCACTATCTCGACGGACGGATGTGGCCGAGCTCGAAAACATATCCAGGCCAATGTGGGCCGTGTGGGACGATCTTAAGAAGGCACAAGAGGGCGATACACAATGCCAGAACCTGCGTCGAGGGATCGAGGCAGGCAATAATGTCGTTGCTGACTACGAGCAACGCAACGGACTACTGCTCTACCAAGGTCGAGTGTTCGTTCCAGATAGCGGGCAACTTCGCGAAAAATCGTGCAGCACTTTCACGACTCAAAGGTGGGAGGACACTCGGGCTTCTATCGCACTTGGATGAGGATGGCCAACACCTTATTTTGACCGGGCCAACAGGGCGCGGTCTGAGACTACATCGCGCGCTGTGACGAGTGCCAATAGACCAAGGCTGATGCGCGGCGACCGGACGGGCTGCTGCAACCCTTGTGGTGCCCGAGAGAATATGGGAGGATATCACCATGAATTTCATCGAGGGGTTACTGGTCTTTAATGGCTTCAACGGGGTCATGGTCGTAGTGGATAGGCTTACAAAGTACGCGCACTTCGTGCCACTCATGCACCCGTACACGGCGAAATCCATCGCCAAGCTATTTATCGAGTATATAATGAAGCTTCACGGGGTGCCACACTCAATCGTCTCCGACCGTGATCGGATTTTTATGAGCAACTTTTGGTCAGAAATCTTTAAGTTACAAAGGACCGAGCTGTCGATGAGCTCGGCGTATCACCCGCAGATCGACGGGCAAACAGAGGTGACCAACCGCACGCACGAGCAGTACTTACGATGCGACATGCATCAATTCCCAAAAAAGTGGAAAAACTTCCTACCTTGGGCCAAGTATTGGTATAACACCACTTACCATAGCTCGACCAAGGCCACGCCATTCGAGCTCATGTACGGTCGAAAACCGCCTACGCTCGTGAATTACTTGGAGGGATGCGCGATCAATGACGAGGTTAGCCGAGAACTTGTTGAGCGTGACCTGATGTTGCGAGAGTTGAAAAAGAACCTCGAAGGCTTGATCAACCGAATGAAGGTCTTTCATGACTGCAAACGCCGTGAGAAAAACTTCGAGTCGGGCGACTATGTATACTTGAAATTGAGACCATTTTGGCAACTTACGGCCAGCGCAGAAGGCAGCGACCAAGCTCGGGGTTCGCTATTACGGGCCTTATCAAATTTTGAAGCGCATAGGTCGAGTGGCCTATCGACTTGAGCTGTCGAAAAGCTCGCATATACATCGGTCATACACGTCTCGCAGCTCAAAGGAAGTCTAGGAGAGGCACATAAGTGGTGCAACCAATTACCCGCGACAGCGCTCGATGGGCAAATCATTGTGCGGCCGAGCCGTGCGATTGAGTACGGCCAAATTAAGAAGGTCGGCCGCTATCGTTGAGAAGTATTGGTCGAGTGGGAAGAGTTGCCAATGGAAGAAGCCACTTGGGAGGACTTAGAAGAAATGCACGAGCAATTTTCGACTTTCATCCTTGAGGACAAGGAAGCACTTGAAGGGGACGAAAATGATGAGAATGTGGCGGGGCGACTCAAGAACGCATCGAGTCGTGCCTATCACGCACGAAGGAGGCTAGCCCGGCGCGCGGCCGAGATGCAGGCGATGGAACACGACGCGCGACTGCCGGGGAGCAGTGTGTGTGAGTGGGGCGCACAACAACCAGAGGATCACGCGCGCAACATAGCCGTGAAGAGCAAAGGTGCGGGCGATACGTGTCTCGACGGTGCACGCGCGATAAGCGATGCCTTAGTCCTCGAGGAAAAAGACGATGCGTGCAGAAAAGAGACAATAGCGACTAAGGTTTCCATGCTTGGCGCGCAAGACAAAGATCTTCTAGGATCCCTTTAGATAGTTTCCTAGATTATTTCATGATTTCTAGATTATTTAGGACTTTAAATATTTTATTGCTTATTTAGGTAATCTAGATTGATTAGGATTAAATTTGTTAGGAGCCTATAAATAGGCGCATGCTCTTGTTATTTTTCTTCATCAAATTTCATAATAAAAAATCAAACTTTTGTTCAACACTTTACCTTAGAATTCTTTACGATTTCTTTTGCAATTTTCTTGTTTCGAAGGGGCGCGCACGTGAACCTCCGGGCACTATCATTGATTCAAGGCGCGCACGCGGCTTATCAGCAATCGGGACACATGATCTTCATCAAAGTCTTAGCCTGCGCAGCCCGCGAGAAGCCCGCGTCCAGCCCGCACGGGATCCAGCACATCCCTTGCCATTGGGCCAAGCGTGCAGCCCAATTCCGAGCTCCAGTCGCAGCCCAGCTCGTGGAAAGCCTCTCTGAACGACCCAGCGTGCATCATACCTGACCCAGATGCTCAGAACTGGTCCAGGTGTGTTCAGTTCGGTCCAGAAGCAGTCCAGCAAATTCGGAGTGTCCCGGCGAGCTCAGGGCGAGTCCAGGATGATCCGACATGGACGGTGAACGATCCGGTGATTAGCAGGACAAGTCCAGCTGCCCAACGAACTCTATGTTTCAGACAATTTTCAACAATGGATATCAGAAACGTCGCAGACGGCAAAAAATTAAACGGTTTGCGTTGAACCCTCGCTTCTAGTTCCGTTGCGCTTAAGATTTAATTCGTAGATAGTCCGTGACTTGCATAATTTCGAGATTATCACCGTTCCCAACACCGATGACCTACAATATGCTGGGGAGGGGTCCCTGCAAAAAAATCTCCGATGCACAAGTCAGTGCCCCCTCGTGGGGATATCCAAAAATGTATGTTGTAACTGTAAATGTGCGCTATATAAAAGTAAAACCTAATCACCCCTTATTATGGTTGTTAACGAACCGGACGTTCGCGAATAAAAGATCATTCCAGCTCGTTTGTGTTTGAGAAAAGCTCGATCGTTTGTTGATCGAGCTGAGTTCAAACATAAAATTAGGCTCGTTTATTAATCAAAAGAACACAAGCTCATTCGCGAATGTTCGATAATGTTCGCGAACATTGATTTAATATAATTTTAATTTTATTTTTTTTATATATTTATATGATATTTTTAATAAAAAATATAAAAATACAAAAAATATTTTTATTTTATTTATTTCGAGTTCGAACGAATAAATTTCGAGGTTAACCAAACATATTTAAAAAGTTATGTTCTAAATTATTGGAACACCAACGAACTCGAACTTTTACGAATGATTAAAGAACGATCTCGAACATGATTTTTTTCTTGAAAAATAAACGAACAAACACGAACACTATTCGAACGTAAACAAACATGAGCTCAAAACCCCCAAGCTCGGCTTGTTCGATTCGATTACATCACTACCCCTTATATACCCAAGGTGTCTTGTTGTCTAAATAGAGTCCTTGCTAGAAAAGAGATTATGTCATATCTTCCTTCCAAGCTTAACATGTTTCTGAAATCTCTGGACTCCCAAGCGAGATATACAGTTCACCCATAGTAGGATTCTTTGCTCTCTTATCATACGACTCTTAGGTTCCTAGATCGTTCTAAAGACCTCAGGACCCCACTACCATAAGTTGTTACTAGGCCGAAAGCCCGACCTCCACTTATTTATTCGAGCACTTGGAGAGCTCGATCTCTATCTCTCTTTGCCTGGTCGACCCCCGAGCTACCTAAGTGAGCTCCTTGATGAGGTCAGCAATGATGCCGAGCTAAGAGACTATTGAATTGGCCATACCCGAAATAACTACTCAAGCGATTTACCGAGTAATTCTGGCTGCTATGTCATTACTCATATCAAAGGCTATGGTAAGCCCATCCAAACAACACAAACTTGTGGATTTAATAATAAATGGACTAGTATCAAGCCCAATCAGCCAAACCAAACACGTTTTAAAAAAATAGTACCATCTATCATTTCTCCCACGGAATAATCTGCGTAACAAATGGCGACAGCGAGATTCTTTCACCTGAAAGCGGCGATCAGCCTGCGCGGATGGACATCGTCGCCTCAGCCGTCGGGACTTCTTCACCTTCGAAACGGAGCCGTTCGAACGTTTTCCTCCGCCATGTCTCCGCCGTCAAAGGCCATCGTCTACCACGAGCAGGGCCCTCCCGACTCCGTCTGCAAAGTGAAAGAACTGCCGCCGCTGCCGATTAAAGACGGAGACGTTTGCGTCAGGATGCTTGCTGCTCCAATTAATCCATCTGACATTAATCGAATCGAAGGTCTTTTCTTCATTTCATCATTCTTCTCTCAAGCAGTGTAACTTCTTTGTACACTCTCACCGTGTTACTTTATTCTATCTGAACACTTGTTTTGGTTGAGTTCTATTCTTTTTCCTTTATGTTTTATGTTTGAATTTATTTTTATTTTAATTTGTACTTGAAGTTGTAATAGTCTGTGAAATACAGGAGTATATCCGGTGAGGCCGCCAGTTCCTGCTATTGGTGGATATGAAGGGGTGGGAGAGGTACATTCTGTAGGCTCTGCAGTTAAGGGGCTTAGTCCGGGTGATTGGGTCATCCCATCTCCACCATCTTCAGGTAGTGATCAATAACTTCAACAGGATTAAATTAGAATAATTTTCTCTAAACTGAGTTTTGAGGGTTATAGGCACATTTAGTTTATCTATATTTCTTGTCAAGATGGGAGCACTCCTTTGAAACAATCATTGGCTTCTGCCTGCTGCTTTAGTTTATTTTCTTTGTATTAGAGTTCTAAGTTCAGAGGTTGTATTCATGTTGAAATTTGGCTGAACCCGTAATCGGAAAAAGACTTTTCTTGGTTTATTCAGCAGCATATGACAAGTAGAACTCTGACTTTATATAAAATGTTGTAGCTTCTCAATAGTACGAGGCGTCATTGAAAACTAAATTCATCAAGCATTTCTCGAGGTATCCTACAAAACCCCTTATACAGTTTGTTTTAGCATTGTAATTAGAGTTAGTGATTCATGTAATTAGTGTTAGTATTGTGGAATATGCCGGTGAAGGCAGTCCGTCCCCGTGTTCTTTACCGGATAAATGTATACACGCACATCATTTAAATAACCCTAAGAGTCCTCTTAAGAATAGAAAAGGACAAAAGAAAAACTTATATTGCAAAATTTTATTCCACTCGCGTCTTCTAGGCTATATAACGACCTCGATCGGAAGTCGGATGGACGGCGATCTCCCAAGCGGTGGAGAAGAGCAAGCTGCTTGCATTTCATTTACCAACCCTCCAGAGTGTGTGTGCGGCATTGTTTGTTCGTGTTGGTCTTTTGTAGGGTTTAGAACAGAAACAAACTTTCTATTTACAAGGCTCCAAAAAGATCCTTGGGCCAGACTAGGGATGTCCGAAAAGGTATAGGATTTTGGGCTTCCTACAAGCCCAAACTTTTATATTTAGCCCGAAATATATTTGTTTTATGAACAACAATTCATTCCACTAGAGAATCAATGTTGCAATGACAGTCTTTCCTGAAAACAATGACTTCTTTAAGACTAAATATAATTTCTCGTGTTAATGATAGCACGTCTATTAAAGCTTCCGACCGCTTTGATTAATTAATTTATTTATTCATTAAGTAGTAGAATTCAATTTTATTATCATATAGATTATATCTGAGTGCACGTTTAATACGACAAACCTTATGAGTTCTTTAAGAGGATGTTATTGACCTGATTACCAGAATATAGTGCTGTAACATCAATAATATGACCAGGGTATTTAACAAAATATGACTCTTGCCCCTGGTAAATCGACACAACTAACAAATATCCTGCGTACCAAAGTATTACACATTAGGTTAAGAATTAACATAGTCATCGAGACCTCAATTCCTCATGATAGTCGGAATGGAAGAACATGCCTCAGTTGTGATCTAGTCAATGCGACTCAGCACACTACTATAAATGACTAGGCTTGATAAGCTAGTTCATGTCCAAGACTATCTCAGTTATAAATATCCTTCATATTTGATAAGGAACCAACAATATGACCTTTTGTGTGACCCGTCGTTTACAATATAAGATAAATTGTTGTATAAGCAATCACAAAGAATGCAATAATGTGAACATTTATTTCATTTAACTAGGGAATTGAAAAAATACATTCCAAAAGCTCACACAAAAGTTATTCTGCTCTATACTCCAACTAGTATCAGGAAGTACTAATCAAATTTGTCACTCTTATCATTCTTTTAGCTACAATTTCTTATTTTTGCATGTTCTTGATTCTTTCTTTTCTGGTGGGATGGGCTCATTCATGTCTCCCCCTTAGAAGCCCGGCAAGGGTTGTCCTTGTCTGTGCTATAGAAACCTGGCAAACGTTGTCCTTGTCTTTGCTATTTTGTGGCCCATAGGATCACTCTGCTGTGTTAGCGGCTGTGAATGCCATGTCATCTGCCACGAGCTTCTAGACTTCTAGTTGGTTCATCCGCAAGCTGCACGATACATGGAAATATCCTGCTTCTTACATATGTACTTCATCTATAGGTGCTTTTATATCAGATAATTCGTTATATGACTTGACAAAAGTGATTAAAATGCTTAGTACTGGTTCTTTATTAAGTAATGCCAGGATCCTGTGACTATGAAAGCTTGTTTTTAGTTACTTTTTGCTGAAAATTGAGGAAAATACATGAGAAGCTCGGGTTCTATCTGACTGGTGCATATTCAGTTAGTATCTTAATTCCAAAAATAAAGAAAAAGATTACACTGATAACTTACCCTGAAGTTGTGCGTGATGGTTTATTTGACCCTTTATCGTATTGAATAAGGGGATTCAGGTTCGAGCCCTTTAAATTACAGTCGAAGTCTCTTTAATCTGATATATTTTTATCTACATCATCTGTGACAGCCTCTTCTGCTCAGGTACATGGCAGACATATCTTGTCAAAGAGCAAAGCGTCTGGCATAAAATTGATAAAAGCACACCAATGGAATATGCTGCCACTATAACTGTAAATCCTTTGACTGCCCTTAGAATGCTGGAGGACTTTGTTGATCTAAAATCAGGTGTCGCTTGATACCATTCCCAAACTTCTTGTTTCCATTTACGTGCTTCATCCTAATCTACTTTGATTTGAAATAGGTGATACTGTCGTTCAGAATGGTGCCACAAGCATTGTTGGGCAGTGTATCGTTCAGCTTGCCCGGCTTCGGGGTGTTCACTCTATTAACATTATCAGGGACAGGTGTACTTTCATTATCCTAAATTTTTACATTTCCCTATATGAGTGCCTCATATATTGAAGTCATATTAGCTTGCAGTTCTCTTATGATTTGTTGGACCTGAATAATTTTCACCGAAAACTGGGCATTTGGTATTGGGATCCAGCTATTCAATGAATATTCCTCTGTGACCACCCTATAGTTGTATGTTCTACTTCAAAGAGAAATTGTCAAGAAATGTTAAGTGATATATACTGATATTATTTTCGCGCGACTTTGTCCCAAACAATATGTAGCGTGGGCAGTCATCTGATAGTTTAGAATCTACCATCTCAGGGAAGGGTCTGATGAAGCAAAACAAAAGCTAAAGAAACTCGGTGCAGACGAAGTGTTCACTGAGAAACAACTGGAAGTCAAAAATGTGAAAAGTCTTCTGGTATTATTTGCAAACTACAATTATTGATGCCATTCATGGCATAACTACTCAGTTTCAGACTCGATATATGCATGTATATTTTGATGTTGCATGGTACTTTATGTAAGCTTTCTCTTTGAGTTACTGGTATTGTAATGGGCGCCTTTAATGCCACTGGTAATTTGTATTTATTCATTCTTTGGCCTTGGCTGAAGTTATCTACTATATCTTACCTTTTTCAGGCTGATATACCAGAACCCATATTAGGATTTAACTGTGTTGGTGGAAATGCTGCTTCATTGATTCTTAAATTCCTGAAGTGAGACATAGTCCTTTATTTCTAGATTGACTGTTTTTTCTCCTTTTCTTTTTCCTTACCTGAGAACATTACAATCTCATGTCCAGGCATGGTGGAACTATGGTTACATATGGTGGAATGTCCAAGAAACCTATAATTGTGTCCACTTCATCTTTCATATTCAAGGTAAGACTGCTGTTTAGCCAGTCGGCTTAAAGCTTTGTGACTCTTCACTGTCGTACAACCTGTTCCTACTGCATATTTCTTGCAACTTATTGTTTGTCCTTTTATTTATATCTGCAGGAATTATCCTTGAGAGGATTCTGGTTGCAAAAATGGATGAGTTCTGAGAAAGCAAAAGAGTGCTGGGATATGATAGATTACCTTTTAAGTCTGGCTCGTGATGGTCAACTGAAATATGAGTATGAAACTTTCCATCCTTTCTGATGTCTCTGTACACCTATTTTTGTATTCCTTGAGTTTGCACTGTGTTTTTTCTACTGCAAATTACAAATGTTTATATTGTTACTTATTTCTTGATAAACTCTGCCTGTT